GGAATGGGGGTGGCAGGTGGATAGTGGGGAGGCAGGGGTTAATGGAGCTAGGGCATCACTGGCTTTGATGTGGTGTTTGGGGTGGGAGTAGGGACTGGGGGAGGGGGAGCAGTAATTACCGAGTTAGGAGTTAGACAGAGCAGGACAGGACAGGCGGGCGGGCACAGGCCCGGCAGCCTCAGCAGCCGTCAGGCAACATTTTTCTGCCCCTTCTCCACCACCCACCTCCCCCACCCCTATACAGCCCCCACCCACAGCCCCAGGGCTCAGGGCTCCCTCTGCTGGCTCCTGGTAAGTGGGGTCAGTGGAGGGACCTTGGAGGTGGGGGTGGGGAAATTGAGGGAGGTGGGCTGTGAGACTTTTCAGAGTAGGCTGGGCACTCAAATGGTCCATGGTTCCTTTGACCTCAGTGATCCAGCAGGAGTGTCTACTGGAGAAGTTGAGGGGTCCTGGAGGGTGCTACTGGTCCTGGGCCAGTCTGGGTGATGGAGGAGACCCTGCGCTAGGCTGGGAAGTGAGGACAGTGAGCTGGAGGAAAGTGCCTTCTGGGCAATGCTGCCTGTACCCCTACTGTTTGCCTTGCATGATGAAAGGGGTGTAAATGGGAATCCAATACTCTCTGGACAGGGCCTTTGCACAGGTAACCAGGGCATCAGGCAGGTATTGTTATTTCCACTTCCCAGCTGAAGACGTGGAGGCTTAGAAGGTTAAGCTTCACATGCTGGGGACGCACTGAACATCATACAAAGAAATGGCAGAGCCTGGATCCAACCCCAATCTTAAGGGTTCCCAAAAGCCCTGAGTAGCCTCACTAATGACATCATACCCTCCTGTGGGATGCTTGTACTTAATGAGGTTTCTGCCTAATTGGGTAGATAAGATAAGCACACCGAGTGGGTGACACCTGGGAGGATGCAAGGGGAAGGTAGGTAAGGGCTGGGTTCAGGGGACTCCTTAGGACCAGTGGGAACTCTGATGAGCTTGGAGAGATGCTGGCTAAGAGAATTTTGATGCCTTAGGGGTCAGAGGTAGTGGCATGGCCTGCAATGGATCCAGCAACCTGCTAGGAAGAAGATACTGTGTGGAGGATGCTGGGAGGAGGCTACCTGAGGTCTTCACCTGCCTCAAGCAGCCATTTTTCTCGAGCCCTGTTTGTTTTTAAAAATTGCCTAGCTTCTCTTGCAGTAGGGATCCCTCCTCCAAGCTGCTAGCACCTGTCATCTGTGTGACAGGGATGAGGTGGGTGGGTTGACAAGATGGTCTTTGGCGTTCTCTTAAGCCCTCTGAATCCAGAGATGGAAAGGTAGGTTGGCACAGAACCCAGGACCACAAGGGCTCAGACTACAGGTGCTGCAAGTATGAACTGGTTGGCCCCTGATGCCATCTCACTGGACCATTGATCCTTCCAACCATGGTCCTTGGAAGGGACCTCTCAGGGCAGGCCAAACCAATTAGGATGGCCAGCCCTAGGCTTGTCCCTTCTTGTCTGCACACTGTTCTTTTAGGGCTAGCCTCATTTTTTCCTATGCCCAGGAGTGGCAGCTTAATTAGAATTGCAGATCTTATAATATATTCCTTATCACCAACGCACTGCAAGCTCTAAAATATGTAACTCTTCCCAAAAGAACACATCATGTCTGGGCTGATCCCAGGTCAGTGTTGACCCAGAGACTCCCAAACAGAATTCATTTCCCAAGAAAGGAAGGTAAAGTAGAGGGGATGAGGGGGTCCAGGGGAGTCAAATGGAGCCAAAGTCAAATGTCACAGTGGGGAGGGTATATACCTCTCCCACCAACTCCTCATTTTTCTGAAGCCCAGAGAGGGAAATGTCTTGTTTGGTGTTGCTCAGCCCACCCAGAGCTTGAGGAAAACCAGGCTCAGAAGTGTGGTGGGGTGTTTTGCTCAATGTCCCCTGCCATGTCCTTTCTGGAGTTTCATTTCCTATGTATTTAGGATGGGAGTGAGAACAGAAGGACAGGGAGCAAACTGGTCCCTTGGGATTCTAGCTGCTACCACTGCCCATCCCTCCTCCCAACCAGCTTATAAACAAGCCTAGTTCCCAGGAAGCCAGCCAGCCTGGGAGAACTGGCTCTGTAGCAGCCCCTCAACCCTTTGAAGGACCAGCCCCACCTCCTGGGGGCCCTTCCCTTCATGTATCCATGATTCTTCCCCTATCTTAGCCCCTGGGAAGCCAACAAGGTCAAGAGGTTTTTGCCTTTCTCCCTTGCTTATCCCCACTCCTTCCTGCTTTCCTAGGGGAGGAGGAGGGAGAGGAAAGGGATGGGGCAGAGTGACCTTGGAAAGATAAGTCCAGTCAACCTTGGGAAAGTAGGGAGTTAGCAGAGGGCAGGGATAGGGTGGGAGCAGGGCTTCGGAACCTTGCAGGCGCACTAGGGATGGGGCAGATGAGTTTGCAGACTCTCAGACAGCCAGGAAGAGTCCAAACACACAGGTGGTAGCTGGGGAGCTGGACAGCTGCACAAGGCCTGCTTTCCTGCCTTCAGATTCCAGGGGGGAAAGAAAATGTTTGAGGAAATGAATTAGGAGTCATGAAATAGCATATTGATGGGGTCCTGGGCCTGAGAGAGGAACTTCTCAGATGGCTCATTTTTTCCTACAGAAACATGTATTAATGGTGTTGGTTGTCATATTACATACCACATACATTATTCATATGTGACAGAGAGCTCATATTATGCAAATTTGCATAGTTAACATTGTAGGAACTCTGAATTAGGCACCTAAAAATCTGCCAGAGAAGATTAAGATAATAAGATAGTTTTAACTCTGAAGAAACTCATAGTCTTATCTACCTATCATGAATAACCATGCTGGAAACCACTGAAATCCTTTTGGTAATGAGGTGGAATAAATGGATGGAGGGGGATAGGTGAATGGATAGCTGGATAGAAGATAGAGTCTGATAACTCTCCAAGGTCACTAGGCCATTGGGAATCAGCTTGAACTCTCCTAGCCTTGGCCTACTGACCAAAGCCATTTACCCTTTCTTTAGTGTTGGGAAAAGGGTTGGGGCTAGTGTTGGGCAGGTCCCAAGTTCAGTTGGAAGGAAGATCTGCTGTATGTCTGTCCACTGAGAAGAGATGCCTGGTTCCTGAACTATGTGGATAGGGATGATGACAGCCACCTGACCACAGGTGTCTGTGTGTGTCAGGAGTCCTTAAAGGAACGGAGTTTCCACATCTTCCTGCAAATACCCCTCCAAGCACCTCATCCCTAGTGTTGAGAGTTTTACCTGAAGATCTAAATTCCTCTTGCTGCTATTTAAGACCATTACATTTCAGAACATGCCTGGGCAGCCTGCACTTGTGGAGCAAATGGGGACAGTGGGTGAATATGCACTGAAGCAAAGCTGAAAAGTAGGCCACTTTGACCTTTCACACCCATCTGCCAAGATTTTCCTGTATATTTTCTCCTCCCCCTCCCATACCCCCTCTTCCCACCCAGAGTTTTCTTTGCCTTCTACTGAGGGTTCTGGGGTGGTCTCAAATTACTCTCCAAGTGCTCTGCCCACATATTCCTCCAAGACAGGGATCCAGCTGTGTTCAGATACAGCCATCTGATTCAAGTGGTTTCTGCCAGGTGTGAATTCCTGGCAGGTAACCTACCTACAGAAACCAAACAGCAGCTCTCTCCTCAGGTAGAAAGAAGTCTGGGGTAGAGAGGTTTCTGACAGTGTGTGGAACTTCCCATGAGGTCTCTACCTACCAAACCAAACATTGTACCCTTCCCCCATTGCCCAGTTATATCACTTCAGTCCAGTTGCTGCCATCTTGCTCTGGGAAAGTCACAGACCCTGGAGCTGGAGAAGGGTCAATGTCACCTACTACCCAACAATGCTGTAGAGGTTCAGTTCCCAGATCCTCCCTCTGCTCTCCAGTTCAGGGAAATGTGTGGGTGAGAAGGCTCAACTTAGAGATGTAAGACTAATTCTCCCATTTTTCAGAAAGAGAAACTTGGACTAGAGAGGGATGTGACTTTCCTTAGAGGTTCCACTCCCTAGCCATTCTAATAGCTCATGGCTGTTTCTGTCCCTGGGATGGCCCTCCTTTTCAGTAGGGCTGGCCAGCTGACATTAACTAGCAATTTGTGGTCCACTAAGACCAAATACTCCCTTGATGTTGCCTACTTTTGTTTATGCTTAGTCCTGGGGTTTGAACTCAGGGCCTCATGCTTGCTAGGCAGGTGCTTTACCACTTGAGCCACACCCACCAGCCCTATTGCTACTTTTCTTCCGCATCCCTTTATGACAAATGCTTTCTTTTCTTTGACAGCCTTCTTGATTGTTCTTCTGCTAATTTCTTCCTTGCCTCCCTTTTGGGCTAGGCCTGTTGAATATTAACCTTGGCCTACCTCTCCTTCACCCAAGCTATCCTCTCCTTCAGCCAAGTTCCTTTAAGGATTTATTAATGAAGGGGCAGAGTGGGTGGTAAGGGAGGGGATGGGGGCAGGGGGGAGAAATGACCCAAGCCTTGTATGCACATATGAATAATAAAATAAAAAAAAGGATTTATTAATGAAGATGTACACAGAAGGATAAGACTGAAAATTCTTGCCGTGTAACACTTTTCAGTCTAGACTCTAGTTAAGAGGGGACACAGGCATGGAATGGTAAGAGAACCAGACAGGATAACCTCAATCTCACGGAGTGGGGGTGTGTTAGGATGGGGAGGCTTGTCAGTTCTTGGCTGTGGGTTGAGTGGCGCTGGTCTCCCTCTCCTCCATCCACTCCCATCCCACCTCCACCCTTTTTGAGTTACACCCTGACCTGCTGTTCTGCTCCCCAGGGCCGTGGGAAGCCCCTTGGTCATGGACCCTACCAGCATCTGCAGGAAGGCCCGGAGGCTGGCAGGGCGGCAGGCCGAATTGTGCCAGGCTGAGCCAGAAGTGGTGGCAGAGCTAGCCCGAGGCGCTCGGCTAGGGGTGCGAGAATGCCAGTTCCAGTTCCGCTTTCGCCGCTGGAACTGCTCCAGCCACAGCAGGGCCTTTGGGCGCATCCTGCAGCAGGGTCAGTGTGGGGGATCGGAATCACAGGTGGATCTATGGGCACCCTGGGCCACTTCGCCCCTCAGCACACTGCTTGTCAACCCTGTTGACTAGTGGCTCCTACTCAAAAGCCACCCACCCCGCCGTCCCGCCCCACCCAGTCCCCAGGCCCCAGGACCCATCTATCAGCCAGAGCTCTCACTACCCCTCGCTCCCTCCACAGACATTCGGGAGACAGCCTTCGTGTTTGCAATCACTGCGGCCGGCGCCAGTCACGCGGTCACGCAGGCCTGTTCCATGGGTGAGCTGCTGCAGTGCGGTTGTCAGGCACCCCAAGGATGGGTTCTGCCTAGGCCCTCTAGCCTGCCGGGTACTCCCGGACCCCCTGGCTCAGCAGGATCCCCAGATGCCAACGCCGCCTGGGAGTGGGGAGGCTGCGGCGACGACGTGGACTTCGGGGACGAGAAGTCAAGGCTCTTTATGGACGCGCAGCACAAGCGGGGTCGCGGAGACATCCGTGCGTTGGTGCAACTGCACAACAACGAGGCAGGCCGACTGGTGCGTATGGGCGGGAAGCGCAGACGCGTGAGTGTGGAAATGTGAGAGTGTGCAGGTGAATGTGGGAGTGTGGTGAGTGTGGCAGTGTGCTTGTGGAAGTGTGGTACGAGTGTTGAGTGAGGTGTGTAAGTGTAGGAGAGGGTTGATGTGCCTGGGAGTGAGCAGGGCAGGGGGGGACTTGGGAAGATTGGGAGGGGACATGGATGCATGTGGCAGGGGAGGTGTCCAGCATAGAATTACATGTAACTTGGGGGGGGGTAACCTGAAGCTGGGTGGTATAGTATGCAGAGTGGGGAGGGGACACTCAGCGGACAGGACTGAGGAACTCAAGGTAAGGAGGACATAGCCCTGAGACATGACAGGCTAGGCCAAGCCTCAGATAGAGGTTGGAAGCTACAGCAGGGACATGGGAGAGGCAGACACTGGAGATGAAAGAAAGGATAGACCCAAAGATATGGGATCTGGATTTAGGGGAATCGGGACAGAGATGGGGGCTAGAAGGAGGCTAAGACAGACCTGAGGACCTGAGGGGAAGTGGACTTGAAAAGAACTGAAAGACCAGGAGCCTGTTCTAGTGGAGGTAGGAGGGGATCAGGCAGAGACCAGAAAAGATGTCACTGATTCTGGTCACTCGTCAACGAGGCTACCCAGCAACCCCAGACCAAGTGTCACATGTCCAGAGCCTTGGCAGTTTCCCTGTCCCCTTTGCAATGAGGAGGGCCCAAGGAGCTCTTGTTTAGGGACAAGAAGCCTGCCTGGGGCTGATGGTTCTAGAAAGGGAGCAAGGAAGAGTCAGGGAGTGAGACAGGGTGACAACAAATCTGTGTGTTAAGTTGGCCCCAGCCTCTGAATTTCCACTGATAATTTTCCCTGACCTGTTAATGGCACTGTGAATCATAGATCCAGCCTCAGAAAGGAATAGCAAACTGGAGGGAAGGCTCCTGGATTCCCTTCTCAGTCCTGTATTCATGGCAGTCCCTTCTGTGCCTATTGCCTTAATTCTAGAGTGCTCAAGGGACACCGCCTCCCAATTCTGTATCCTTTAGGGTTCAGCCTTAGGCAGGCAGGGAGGAGGGGGCCGGGAGAGTAATGTCCGGACAGGCCCACATACCTGTCGAGAGTGTTGGGGAGGGGTTGGCGGAGACAGACGTCCAGGCGGCTGGCTCTGTGTCTGCTCAGCCCCGCCTGGGGCCGCCAGGGGCAGGAATAAGGAGCCGGGTTGGCAGGAGCGCTAGGCTGCGACAGCTGCCACCTCTCCCCCGCCCTCCAAGGAGAATCTCACCCCATGCGTTCATTCTGTTCTCCCCTACTCCCTGGCTTTGGATCCTGGAATCTCTACGGTTCCCCCCACTTCCTCTCTTACTCCTCCATCCTTGCATTCCTCCTTCTTTCTGAGCTGTCCCTTCCTTGACTTCTGCCTCCTCGCCTTGCACTCTCCTCTTTTTTCTTTGCCTTCTCCCTTCGGTCTTCCCGTCCTCCCACCCCCAATCTTATCTTCTGTTCATTCTCGGTTTCTCACTCTGCCCAGCACATCGTCCTAATCTATCTGCTCCTTTGCTTTCCGCAGGCCGTGCGGAGCCATTCGCGCACCGAGTGCAAGTGCCATGGGCTGTCGGGATCATGCGCTGTGCGCACCTGCTGGCAGAAGCTGCCCCCGTTCCGCGAGGTGGGTGCGCGGCTGCTGGAGCGCTTCCACGGCGCCTCGAGGGTCATGGGCACGAACGATGGCAAAGCCCTGCTGCCAGCGGTCCACACGCTCAAGCCGCCAGGCCGCGCCGACCTTCTCTACGTGGCCGACTCGCCTGATTTCTGCACCCCCAATCGGCGCACCGGCTCGCCCGGCACGCGTGGTCGTGCCTGCAATAGCAGTGCCCCAGATCTCAGCGGCTGTGACCTGTTGTGCTGTGGCCGTGGCCACCGCCAGGAGAGCGTGCAGCTCGAGGAGAACTGCCAGTGCCGCTTCCACTGGTGCTGCGTAGTGCAGTGTCACCGCTGCCGCGTGAGCAAGGAGCTCAGCCTCTGCCTTTGACCCTCCACGGGGCTCTTGGAACTGTCCGCCTTTCGGCCCCTGCAGGACCCCTGAGCTCCAACAGGGGGCGTTTCCCGGGCCCAGAGCTCCCTGTGAACGCCGTTCTCCCAGGCCTCCACAAACTGACGCCCGAGGACTTGAAGTTTGCGCCCTATCAGGACCTAAAAAAAACCCCAGGGTGCTGGACAGGAGATTATACAGACCCTCCCTCCCTGTGGCCTCCAGGTGGAAGCCCAAAAGCCAGTCTCTAGGCCTGGCGGGGCTCCTCTGAACTGCTGGCCATGGGATGGGTGGGTGAATTTAGTATCAATAAAGATATTTAAACATAGAGGACTGGACCTACAGTTTGGGAGGAGGACTGATCTGCCAGATGCTGGAGGGCCAGGCTCAGGGAGGAGTATGTAAAGGGAGATGTGTGTGTGTGTGTGTGTTACTGGGGTTTGAACTCAGAACTTTTTTCAAGATAGGGTCTCAGGAACTATTCCCCCTGGCTGGCTTCCAACTGCTATCCTCCAAATCTCTGCCTCCTAGTAGCTAGATGATTTTGATAGAATTAGCATTTTTGGGGTCATCACCCTGATACCCTATCCTCTGCCACACCACAGAGGTGTCCTGTCTTGGAAACCCTCTATGTCACCCTTAGTACCTCTTTTTGTTCATTCTTGTCCCATGTCAAGGGCCTGGGACTGGGAACTAGTGATTCCTTTTTAAAGGGACAGAGAAAGAAGGTTCCAGGAAAAGAGGATCAGAAGCCTTTGATGGGGTGCTCAACTCTCAGGCCAACCCTTGCCTTCATTTGAGGGGCATTGGTGTTCTGTGACTCCTGGGGAATTCAAGAGTACACTTTGGGGCTATCCGAGTCGATGGGATTAGGGCTCTTTATAAACTGTCAAATATGATGAAACTAGGTGATTAGCAATACCAGCTTTCAGTACCATCAAAACTAACTTCACCTCCAAGAGCACTGAAAAGACTGTCCAGCACAGCATTTCTAACACCCCTTAGAGAATTCTGAAGTTAGGTTGTCCCAAGCTTTCTCTTGTACCCAATCACATGGCCTTTGTTCTGGTGCCTCTCAGGAATTTGGTGGCTAGAATGAAGCGGCAAAGGGGCAATTCTGGGTTCTGCAGAGTAGAAGCCCAGGGCCCATCTTCCTCTAGAGAGAATGGGAGGGAGGATGTAGCCAAAATGCAGGGGTTTACAGCCCCCACATCCCTCCAGTGCAAATAAAGAATGGAGAATCACCAGCTCAGAGTACGCAGTGCGGGACAACGCCTGAGCTTTGGATTCAGGCCTCTGGGTTTATAGCTGATCCTGCTGCTTAGATGTTTGCAGTCATCTTAATCCATCCCATACCTTTTTGGTATAATAATTTATGCCAAACTTCTGTTTAATAAATGGTAGCAGGCTGGGGGCGTGGCTTAAGTGGGAGAGAGCACCTGCCTAGCAAGTGAGACCCTGAGTTCAAACCCTAGTACTGCCCCCCAAAAATAAAAATATAAGAGAGAGAGAGAGAGAGAGAGAGAGAGAGAGAGAGAGAGAGAGTCAGAGAAAGAGAAAGAAAAACAGAAGTGGTAATTACTATGAGAATGGGAATAGAGAGCTGACACTTTGTAGGTTCTGGGCAGGACCTGATTACAAACAAAGATCCCCGACTTTTAGATGAGGCCAAAGTGGGTTAAAAAGTGGGAAGTCCATTCATTCAGTCTGAACTCAGGTTTGGCTGAACCCAAGGGCTTGAATGTTATCATAGGTCTCTCTCTTCCTCATCTCCTTCCTTAGTCTTCCACTTTCCCCCATCTATTGTTTCTGCTTACCTGGCTCTTTTTGGCATACTGTGTTCATTCTTTCCTCTTGCATATTTTCTCTATGTGACATTGGCTCTCTCTTAGAACCAATGATCCCCTAAAAAGCGGCCTTCCCAGTTATCTCCAGCAGCAGTCCCAAGAAAGACCCTGACTAGTTCAGCCTGGCCATTTGCTCATCCCTGGACCAGTTACATTATCCAGGGAGATGCACTACAAGGGCTGGGATTGGCAGCCTCCTAGGACCACTAGGAAATGTGGCTCAGGGAGGGAGCAGAGTTCTTCAAATGGAACAGAAGGAGAGGACTTCATCCTGGATGTGACAGAACATCACCATGGCTTCCAGCACATCTGTCCTCCCACAGTGCCCCCCATTGGCAACTTTATGAGGCAGCCAGGCTCACAGTGGTTAGTGGGGGTCAGCTGCAGTGATAGAAAGGGGCATTTGGTGTTTCTTTCCTGCCTCCTCCTGGCTCCCTTGGATCAAATGCTTGGGCTTCATGGAAAGATCATGGAGAGTTTGGATCAGAACTCCTCAGCCAAAGTAGACTCTTAACTTTCCAAGGGGGAGAGTGGAACTGGCATGATGGCGTGGATTTTCTCCACACAGGAGAAATGAAGCTCCCCGAGGGACATGATTTGTATTCACAGATTTGCCTTCCCCAGAGTTCTGTGTACACTTCTTTTTTTCTTTCCTTTTCTTCCTCTTCTTTTCCATGTGCTGGGGATGGGACTCAGGGCCTTGATCATGCTATGCAGGAGCTCTGCAGACACTGAGATGTATACCAGCCTCCTGCTGCGCTCTAAAAAATCTCCCGTACTTTTCTCAACGACCACCAGAGGGCGTGCTGAGCCCAGCTTCACTATTAACTGGGAGCGAGGTGGAGGAGCAGGACATCTGCAGAACTCAGAGCAGTGGGAAGGCAAGAGTAGGACTGAAAGGAAGCAGAGAGACCCAGGGATAGCTAGGATTCCAGGCTGTTGGGGACCCCTGGGCTAGTGGGTCCTAGGGCTGGGATGCCAGTCTCCTGTCTACTACTATGCCCAGTCCTGGTTGATGGTGCTGAGATTCGTGGGCTGGCTAGCTATCTTCCTCTGCATTGCAAAAGAAAGAAACTGGGGCAGTGGCACGAACCATTACCACCCCAAGCAGGTTGAAAGAAAGTCAGATGAAGTAGTATGGTTCAGTGAAAAAGGTCTAGTTTGCATGCATGGTCAAGCCAGTTAACCTGAGCCTCAGTCTTCCCATCACAGAATAGGCTAATAACTTCTTACACAATGTGAGAGTGTACTACAGCCTTTAAATTTCTAGTCATATGGCAGTGATCTGCTCTCTGTGACCAAGCCCTGCAGAGGTCTGGGAACTGCCTTCTGTGAAGGGTGACAGTGATGACCCAGGAGGCATCCTTGGGACCCTTACAGCTTAGTCCTCTTTAAGCCCAGAGATGGCTCTGTGTTCTTGTACTGCTGCCTGGGAAAGGGGTTGGAAGTAGAGCTCAGAAGTGCCCCCCGACCCCCTCCTTGCTCACCCAGCTGCTCAGCCCCAGGCGTAGGCAAGGTCCCCTGCTGGCTGAGTGGCAAGGGACATGTGGAACTGGGGAGGTGGCGGGGGGGGGGGAGGAAGAGCATAGAGGCACCCCAGATGTGTGCATGACCACACCAGGAAAAGGCAGAATGCAGGCAGATGGGTGAGGAGGCCAGTGGAAGGCCTAGGATCAGCCTAAGGCCAAGAGCTCAGAATACATCTTTTCCCTTCAATAACCAAACATTAGGTGTTTGGGGACAGGAAAGTAGCAAGAGATTCCCCCTTACCTTGCTGAGGCCTGGACAACCAACAGAAAGCCCCCTCATTAGTCTGGGGCTCCTTTCCTCTCTTCCTCACCAGGACAAACTTCTCCAGTAGAACATCAGGACCAAGCCCTGACTGGGCTGGGTTAGGCTAGGACTGTGAGGGTCCCACCTGTTCTCACCCTGGTGCCTCCCCAAGCCCTCCTTCCCTGTGACCTACACCAGAGCTGCCACAGCTGGAACCATTCTCCAAACTGCCTTTCATCCTCTTTGCTCCCCCCCACCCCCAGTGGCCCCTGTAATTGTGGTCTCAGGCAGCAGCTGCGGGGGTTGGGGCTGGGCTGAAGGCCAGAGCCCAGGGCAGGGCTGGGGTGGGGATTGGGGGCTGCCAATAGGGGCTTGGCTATGGCGTGGGTCATATGGGGTTGGGTCCCCAGCTGCACACTCTCTGGGCCTCATCTGTACACATACCAAGGCCCTGTGCTTATGAAAACTTCCTCTCCCTATACTGAGGAGAGATGCCCCCAGACTTGGGCACTCTTAGCCCCTCATGACATCAGGCTGGGAGCTTGGGGATTGTATTTGCCTCCTGGAGTTTTCAAAGGAAAGGTCTCTCTCTCCTTTCACCTCTATATTTCATGAACAGTAGAGCAAAGAGCCCCCCCCTTGTTGAAGAGAGACCAAAAGAAAAAAAAAATCAGCTGCTCAGCCAGCAGCATTTCCCAAAGGTGGTCCCCACCAAAACACCTGAGAGATGGTTAGAAATGCAGACCCCGGCGGCCTTCTGCCTAGAAAGACTGGAATCAGTATTTTCCACCCCAGGGGATACATATGGTGTATCAAGCATGGGGAAGAGTGTGAGCACCAAACAGGCAGCCAGGAGCTGCAACCTGAGTATGACCTCATTGCCCTTGTTGAATTGGATCTCTTCCTAAACCATTGGGGCCTCAGTTCCCCAATGGGAGCTTGGCTCTCCAGTTTGCTGATGCCCTCTTCCATCCTGGGCTCCTGCCTTCTTTCCGTGTTGAGTCTGGTCCCACCCTGTCCCTATCCACATCCCAAACTCTACTCCCAAGCTGCTGTCCCTGTCCCTGCAGCATAGTAGGGGAGAGTGGGGAAGGCAGGGGGTGGCTGGGGTCACACAAGGCTCTGGCTGACGCACTCTGCTTCCTGCCCCCGGCTGTTTTCCTGCTGTCCAGCCAGACTGCTCCCCCATTGCCCCACCCCCACCCCCAGCAGCCTCAAGCCCTTAATTCCTGACAGCTGCGGTGGCTGCCGGCAGAGATGGGGGGAAAGGAGGGGGAGTATGCCGTCAGCCTGCTGTTGCTGAGGCCACCCCCACCACCTGACAGTCTAGGGACAAGGAAGGCCCCTCCTCTCTCCTCCAATTCCCCAAGGATGGGCAAT